GATCAATCGGATGCATTTGAGTTTGAACATTTTGGTGAAGCGAGACCTGGAGACTCAACTTATATAGATAGATTTGATGATGCTAATTTAGGAGATCTTTGAAACTATTGAATTGAGAAAGTGAAACTTTGATTTTAATTATGAATATGTTATGTTTTTGTTATCACTTGGTATAAAGTAATTTTGCATCTTTTTATGATTGGTTGTGTCTTAGATAAATAAAAGTATTATAATTTTCTTCAAATTTTGCTATATATTTATAAATATTTGTGTCATTATTATAATATTTAAATATAATATATATTTATTACGTCATCTGGTTCGACCCTGGTCGAACTATCAAACCTCTAACCCCTCCTTCCGGTTCATTGACCGGTCCGGTTTTAAAAACCTTGGCTAAAAGTACACAAAAATTTGATATAGATGAATTCAATTTTAAGCCTTCATAAAAAAAATTTCTAAATTTTAAAAGTTGAGTTATACACTTATTTTTTTTTAGGGCAAATGACATTGAGCAAGTTTTATCATATAATATAAGACTTCAAATTCAAGATCTTTTAATTGAAAGCTTAAACTTCTAACCAATGGACTAAAATAAGGTGCATTAGCTGATGCATCAGTCTTTTAATTAAGTGTTCAAGTCATCAATTGCTTCAAATAATGCATTCATCATAATAAAATATTAATAATTCAAGTGGAATCACCTGTTCATATATGGTTGGTTGAAATATTATTTAAAGAATATCAAAAGGAACAAAAAGGTATAAATAAGCATCCACTATCAAACAAAAAAGGTTGGAGCCAATTCTTCGCAAACTTTGATTTACATATAAATCAAAGAAATATTAAGACTTCATAGGAATTATCAATGTTGTTTGGGAAGGATAATCTCATATATGACCCCTTCAAGGTTTGAAATGATAGATCTGGTGCCTGCGACTTCATTAACTTCCATTCCAAGCTTGACAGCTTCATTGATAACCATTTCATCCATGCTGAACATCAAGGCAAGCACATGTCAGTTTCAAAAATCTAATTTGGAAATAGCAAACTATAAGGCAGTTACAGACAGAATTACAGACAGACAGGTAAATATATTAATAGGAGCACAAAAGGTTGCATTAGGGAGGAGGGAGCTCTATAATTAAGTTTATGATACCGTGAAATTGAGAGTGAAGCTTTAGTGGGGAAAGTAGAAGAAAGTTATGAAAGATATTGGATAGTGGAATCAACTACAATGTTATATACTACACCATTTCTTGACCAATCCATTCATCTCGCACAATACCTAGCAAGCATTCTCATTCTTGAGGTGATTTAAGACAGGTAAGAAGATCTTCAACATATTATATATATGAGACAATCAAAGATTTTAACTTAGTTGAAGTTTATTTACATTTCATGTAATAGAAAGGGCAAACCATGTAAGGTTGGATGGAATGATTTTCAATTGTCAAAATCATTTTGAAATTATTTTAATCAACCAAAAAGTGGGAATTCATAATTACAATCAGTGATTTCATTAAATCTCTTAAATTTGTTCTGATTAGTTTTGCTTCTACAATTGGAGCTACCAATAAGGAGAGATTAGTCATCTTTGTGGATTAATTTGAAAACCAAACAAAATTAGGATTTTAGAACTCCAACATATCCTCCTCTTCCTCTGTACTTGTCCTAACCATGCCCCACCTTCTTAGAGCTTTAAACTCTCCCCTCTCATAAATATGAGCCAAATCAACTCCCAAAAATCTAAAACTTGCACTGCCAAACTTTAACAACTCCACTTCCAAAGCTCATCTCTCTCCAAATTTTAATCAATTTATCCATCAACTTCTCATTTGTTTTTCAATATCTCAATCCTCTACTTTGGAGGTCCTCTTCCTTTTATTAAAAAAAAAATCATGATATTTGAAAACTAATTTCAACGCTAAATCAAACTACAAGTTCAAATTTAGCCAGCCCTTTCATAAACTTCAACTAACCTTAAACCATATTTTCACCAACTCTAGAAACTTCTTTGTAGATCTTCATATATGCTCCAAAATTGGGTTCATGTGCGTTCGACAAGAATAACATTTGAATAATGCAACGTTGCATGCATATCAAGTTAAAAATATCCTGACAATAGTCAACTAACACGATGTTGCACGTAGCAAGCTCAAAATGCCTCAGCTCTACCAAGATGCATCACATCCTCTCCATTCACACAACCACCTTCAACCACTAGCTCGCCTGATCTCACCTGAACTCAACATACTTAACCCAGCCACCTCACTTCCTCTCTACAAACTTAATGTCTCCACTTCCTCTCTTACCTCACACACTCGCTCTCCACCCTATCTTCTATCTTTCTCTCACAAGCACTCACCTCCTCTCCTCCTATTTTCTCTATAAACAAAGAGCAAAACTTCGCTCCCACCCTCTCTCTACAATTCCACTCGCTGTCTCTTTCTTCCTCCCTCTAGCAAAATATGTGAGGTTGATAAATCAAATTCAATCTGGAAAGATATCAAAATTGCAAGTAAATGAGCAAGACATGATTTTCTATGGTAATAGATTTTAGGTCTTGAGTGGTATGAGGAAGGAGGTTCCGCATGAAGCCCACTATTTTGGGTACATTGTTCAACTATGCAGCAACAAGATATATCATGATTTGAGGACTATATTTTGGTGGCATTGATTGAAGCGAGAAGTGAGAATTTGTTTCTAAGTATGAATCATGTCAAATTGTGAAAGCTGAGCATCAGAGACTCAGTTGATTATTGCAATCATTGCTTATTTCTGAGTGCAAGTGGGAGGAGATTACTATGAGTTTCCTAAGTCCAGGCAAGGTCATGATGCAGTGTGGGTGATTGTAGATATATTGACAAAATCTGCTCATTTTCTTCTAGTGAGGCAGACAAATCCTTTTGATAACCTGACTTAGTTGTATATGGAGGTCACAGACTACACGGAATCCTTAAGATTATCATTTTTTAAGATGACGACATTGTTTACCTCAAAACCATGAAAAGGTATTCATGAAGGCCTGGCGGATGAAGTTGCATATCAGTATGACTTTCCAACCCCAAATGAATGGGCAGTTTAAGAGAGTTATTCATATTTTAGAGGATCTATTGAGACTGTGTTTTAGTGGAAGCTTGAAAGATCATGTGACATTGATTGCATTTTCTTATAATAACAGCTTCCAGGCAAGCATTGGTATGACCTCATATGAAATATTATATAGGAGGTGCAGGACATCATTGTAATGGTCTTAAGTAGGAGAAAGAAAGGTGATATCTTCTGAGCTCATAAATAATGCTAGAAGAAGCTCAGCAGACAGATGAAATTTTTACCCGAAGCAAAGTCTATAAAATTTCAAGTTGGAGACTTTGTGTATCTGAAAGTCAGTCCAATGAAAGGAGTAAGCAGTTTAGAAAGGATGGTAAATTAACTTCTCGGTATATAAGATCATTTGAGGTGATAGAAAGGATTGAGAAATCTGCTTATAAATAATTTCAAACAGATCACATATCGAATAATCATAATACATTTCATGTATCATTATTGAGAAAATGGGTATCAGATGTAGACTCGAGAATTCATAAAAGATGAGGTGGAATTGCAACCTGATCTGACCTATAGAGAAAAACCTAAACATATTTTGGCTTTTGATTTGAATCAGTTAAGGAATAAATAAATTCCAATAGTTAAAGTTCAATAAAACCATTTTTTGAACAAGAAGCAATCCGTGAAAAAAAGGCTGAAATGAGACAATTGTATCCAAATTTGTTTTAATAGTATTGTATAATGAGAACGTCGAGGACAATATTTTATATAAAGGAAGGATATAATATCTGTTATCCATAAATTGAGGTAATTATTGTCGATGCTTGTCTAATTTTAATTTAAATGACAATTTTGAGTCCTAGGGTGTTTCATGAACTCTAGAGCAAGTCAGAAAGTAAACTAGATAAAAGATTTTTAATTTAAGAAATTTCTCTTGGAGCACCACAGCATCGAGTGGGCAGTACTGTGATGTTGAGCTCTCTAGTGAGAAATTTAGTTTAAACGTGCATTGTGGCATTGGGTTGTACCGCCATAATGGTGTGCTCTCAATTTGAATAGATTCTAGGGGAATCCAAAAATTCAGCTCAATGCAGCGGCATTAAGGAGCTGGTGTTGCGGTGCTTATTAAATTAGTAGTTTTTATATAATTAAATATCTAAAATCACATGCATTTAACCATTTCCCCAGCCATCTTGCTGAAGAAGGAAGGGAAAGAAGAGGAGAGAAAAGAGAAAGAAGGAGAGAGTTTAGAGGCCAAAACTCAAGATTCGTCCGTCAGGACTATTCAGGATGTTATAAAGCACAAGATAGACTCTTAAACCCCTATCTATGATTTCAATTTAGTGAAATTATAAAAAGGTATGATTAAAATATGTTTTCTTGGGTTTTACAATGTTTTTAATAGCGTAGTTTTTAATATGTTATTTGTTGACCTGTGGATGTAACCATGATCTAACTCAAACAACCGGTACCCACGATCCCGCGACCTTCAACCGTCTCTCCTCACGATCTCACACGAATAAAATACTCGATTGTCCGATTTTGCACTATCACGCTCTCAGAACCGCAAAAACAAAATAAAATCACAAGCAAGGAGTTTTGGAAACTTACCTCAGACGAACAAAGTCCGTGACGCACTCGCCGAGTCCGCCTTTCCCAAGCTTGAAGTCGAACTTGAAGCCCCCAGTCTCCACCTCTTGCTCGTTGATTGAGCCGATCGCTGCCCCTTCCATTGGTCCCAACAACCTCATTGCCAGTGCCCTAGGCGCAAACTGCCGCCTGCCTTCGCCGTTGACTCGTCGGCCCGACCTTCAGCCGCCGGCCCAACCAGCAATGGTCAATCCCGATTGCCACCTCCGTGCCCGAGCCTGACCCGACGTCGCTTCGGTCTCTTCGTAGGCGTGCCTTTCAGGCTATCCCTCTCCCTCTGTTATATATCTATAATTATTTTTATTACTTATTATAAGAAAAAAGAGAGCAAAAAACACCGTAGGAGGAGAATTTTGAAGGAAGTCCCGGGATTGATATGATCCCCTGAAGCCAGGAGTTTACCGAAATAAAAACTGACAAAGGACCTCCAACATCTTAATTTGAATCCTATATATATATATATATATATGATTAATTAATTATCATTCTAATAAATTAAGAAAAAGGGAGCAGGAGTTTCCAATTAATCGGAATATAAAAAAATGAGGGGGAGAGAATATTTCCATTTACATAAACCATTAAATAAATGATAGTGCACCTAAAAGTGACTTATAAAGTAGATGCTTGTTATAATCAAATCAGAAAACAACATTAAATCAATCTAAATATGATAATATAAATAGTGTTAATGGCAAATGACAATCTTGTTTCTATAATTAAAGGAAATTAACAATTGATTTTGACTTTAATGTACTATTCAAGAGGAATTTGACAATGTACAATTTTGAGATTATATAAAATCAAAGCATATTAATTTGATGCATCTTTTAGCAAAATCAAGATCATGCTACTATAGTCTTTGCTTGAAAATATTTATCATGTATCTCCTCCTGTCTTAGCAATGTATGATTAAAGTTGGTTCTAAAAAATTTTTTGAGAGAACTCCATTCAAACGAAGAACCTCAGCAACATTCTTTTTCTGTGGGATGAGCCTTTTATAGTAGATAGTCTTTTTGCAATGATGAATTTTGATGCACAAGAGTCATTATATTATCCATAACATTTACACGATATTCTGCAATCAATAGTTGTGGGGAGATATATTCAAAGAGTTGTGCCAATGCTATGTGATGTGTCATTTGACTCCAATACAGTAGACCACTCCTATGCTATTAACATTATAGCAAGAGCCTTATATAGCTTCTTTTCAACACTCTTCCATGATAATTATCCATAATTTGTTAGAAGCTATATCATGAATACGTGAGAAGGGGCAAGGATCTTATTGATCTAG